TTTAGATAAAGGAAATATATATTTTCAATACATAGTAATTTAATTTTAAAAGTCAATGGCAGAATATAACTAAATAGCTTACTAATATTTTCACACACACACACACACACACGTTTTCTTAAGTTTTCGCGGGTACTTACATGTATGGTATTCAGCTTTGTTCGGGTATTTCCCATATTTTCCATGATTGTGTTAACTAGTATCAGATTTTCTTAATAAATTACAAAGAGCAGGTGTATAAAATGTGATAGATCCACATCTAGCATTTGAAATGTAAAGGTCTCCAGGACAGATAACATAGCAAATCACCCAATTAAAATTTGATCATACTGTGCAGACTTCTGGTGGATTAAAGCTTCACAGTCAAAACATTGTTAATCATCAATTTAGTTTGTCAGGGTATTAAAATAAAATTTGGGGCAACTTCTCCTAGTTCATGCAAAGATATCTGCTTGAAGAACCATTAAATGTATTTTAAGAGAATAGGGCAGTGGTGGTATGCTACTGGTTCGGCCGAACCAGTAGTAAAAAAGCCTCCCACGATCAGCTGAGAGGAGAAAGAAGAGAAAAGCATAGGATCGGCCCTCCCACCCGCCCCTGCCTGTTTCTCTTCTTTATCCTCTCAGCTGATTGGCGCTGCAGACCGCAGCTGGTGTGTGGAAAGCTGCACGTGCACGCGATCACCGAACCAGTAGTGGAACAGGTAGGATCCCACTGCTGGAATAGGGTTAGAAATCTGTCAACTATTATTTAACATTGTAGTATCAGGGCCATAGTAAGTTTCTTACTGGTAGGCTTATGATCAATTTGTCATGATTCTCACAATTCATTTTCTGTGCTAATTTCAGAGATAAAATTACAGAAATAAATGAAGCTCAAAAGGAATCCATGAGAAACTAAAAGACTGAGAACCCCTGATCCAAATTATGAAGTTTAAGAGCTATTTTTGTGGCCTCTAGCATTGTTTAAATTTGGTTGGCAATGAACTGCCAAATTATAATAGCAAAATTCTTTGCTACTTTTCACCGGGAAACAGATAGACATACTAATTTACTAATAAGATTAATGTACTATTAATATTTAAAATAATCTCTTCACTCCCCTTTGATGATACCATGTCATTGCCACAGTTTCTGCCATTGAAAAAAATTAAATTTTAAAAATTAAAAATTAAAAAAATACTAAAATTAAGGCTCTCGGGGTTCAAAGAGATTATCTACCTCTATTCTAAATAACAATCCTTGTACCCATTATCCTATGGCAGAAGTTTATTTAAAAATTAGTTTTTATACTTTGCAGAAGTGAACATATTACTGTTAATACTTACATTAAATAGAGTTTGAATCCTAATAACTTTTTCCCTGTGAAAAGCATTGTGAGGAAGAGGAGATTCATGGAGCAAGGAGTTCCATTTTCTCTTTTTAGCTATTGAGGAGGTCCTCTTGGTCTTAAGCATGTTGTCATGAAAGAAACAGGCTACTCCATGAAATCTTACAAATCAGGCAGATTGATAATAGAAGATAACATATTCAAAATAATTTTGTCCTGTGTCTGAGTTAGTGTTTTATTTTGTACTGTTTAAC